TGTTAGTTTGAAACTAGAAGAGGAAATAAAGAAAATTGACCAATTAAATAGAGCCAAGAGGGAAAAAGCAAACAAAATAGAACAACAAAGGCAAACAAAAACAGTGAAGCCAAAATAATATAAATATTTCAAATAGGTCTGATACTGTAAATAATACAACTAAAGAGTCATCTATCAATTGATATATTCATGGGTAAAATAACGTGAAGTGTAAAAAGTAATTTCTAATACAAAAATGTGCAGGGTAAACTGCCTCTTATGAGTATTTAAAACACACATCTGAAAATGAGAACATGCATAGGCTAGTGTTAAGGATTGTGTTTAGGTGTCCTCCCAAAGCCTCACGTGGTCATAGGTGGGGCTTTTTCAGAGGTGGCTGGATCTAGAGTGTGTGACATGGAGATTATTTCATGGTGCAATGATAGGCTCAAGCACACAAGGATCAAGGGTGTGAGTGTTACCTGCCCTAAGTAGCTGGATAAGATATAAGGGCTAGAAAGAGCTATAGTTGTCCCTTGTTGCATTGCTACCTTCTGCCTGCCATGAACTGTTTCTCCTCTGTGATGCCCCCTGCCTTGGAGCCAGCCAATTATGGACTGAAACCTCTACAAACTATGAGCTAAATAAACCTTTCCTCCTTTAAATTTGTGTGTCAGGTATTTGGTCTCAGTAATAAGAAAAGTAAATAAGATAGCTAGCATATATGTCTTTTGATACATAATTTAAATAGTATTTAAAATGTTTGAGGAATACATACTATATTCATAACCTTAACTGACTATGAGAAGAGATGACACAAGAGGATTTCAATTTAATCTTTAAAGATTTTTTAGTTAAAAGAGACTAAAAGCAAATTCAATAAAATGTTGATGGGTAGTGAACGTATAAGTTGTTGGTCATTTTACTAAAATATTCTTCTGCATTTTTTAAATCTCTAAAATTTAAAATCTTAAAAAATAAGGAAGATGTTGAAAGATTAAGGGAACTCTTTTACATATCTCATAAAATGTCTAGTATTTGAGTTTATTTTTTTATACCGAGAACAAAAAATATCTTTCTCTAATAGTTCTTTGGTACTCAGAATTTGCTAATTGAGTTTTCTATTTAATTGCCCAGAATTAGTGAAATTCTCGTGGGCAAAGAAAAGCAAAAACTATGTAATTTGACTTGTTTAATGACATTATCAAATGATGACAGAAGATGGTGGTCCCCTGGACAAGGGTACAAAAAACAATATCCAAAGGACTCTCTTACTTATTGATGGGTCTTAGATTTCTAAAAATTAGTTTCTGAGCCTCTTTAAAGAATCCAGTTTTATCTTTAAGCTAGGAACTAGAGCACAAAGAAGTAATTTTCAGAGGAAATGAATGCAGAATTTTCTTTAAAAAAATAGAAGCATTCAGAATTCAGAATCTGAAAGAGAAAAAAAAAACTAGTAGTGCCTACATTTGAATTGTGTTTTGGATCTAAAGAGTATGATTTAACCCTTAGAGGGATTTAGTTATTCTTTGTTTAAAAGTAAATAAGCAAAACCATTTTTAAAAATCTATTCCTTTCCATGAAGTGTGATCCTAAGCCCGTGCTGCACTATTTGTGAAGTAAGATTTGCAACATGAATGGAAAAGGAGATTTTGTCATTATAGGGGAACCTTGTCTTGGTCCACTCTATTCTCTCCTTTAAATAAAGAAGTCCAGTCATCATGGTGAGCTCTGCTGGCATCAACAAAACTCAGGCAACACCCAGCTGTACTCTTTGTGGTGGCTGATTTTTTTGAGGTCGTTCAGGGATAAGGCTCACGAACAAACAAGGGAGAAACCTAAGGTTGACCTATGATGACTACAGTTACACTAGGCTTTTTGTGTAAGGTCCCTCAGACATCCATCTCCATGTTAAAAATAGTTCACAATTCACCTTGGGTCTCTCTGGCCTTTGAGAGAGTGTGAATGAGGATAGCAGAGGCGTGGTTGGACATCTTGGTACAACCAAGGACCTTCCCTGGTTCCTACGATTGAGAGGACAAAATGGTAACCCAACAGCGATCCTCTTGTAGGTGGCCACTCTTGTGAACTCCCTTGGGTCAGGCTGTCTCTGTGTAAGGGTTGTACTCTTTCTTTGGCTGCCTGCAGGCTTTGAGGGTATAAACACCTTAGCGGAGATGATCAGGACTAAGCAGGCCAGAAGGGCAAGGTATGGCACTGGGCAGTTCCGCTAGCTCTGTGCCTCTGTGCCACTGGCTTCAGGAAACAAAATTTGAAATAATGAGTTACTCTTATTTGAGCATTCTCAAACACTGGCTGGAAATGAATATTCTTGCCTTGGTGGGCCATGGGAAAACTTTGTGAACTTTAAGAGAAGTACATATGCTAGCATGAATGGAACAGATCATTTTCTGTACACATTTATCAAGTGTAAGCAGCCACTCTTCCTTCACGCTGAGATAAGGAGTCCTATTGCTTTATCGGAGCTTCAGCCCTTGGTGATTCATTGGCTTTCTGTTTTGATTGATTTAGTTGGCTCTTTGGAAGAATCTTACCCTAGGTAAGATTACCCATCCCCCAGGCGCAGCTTTGTCTTCTGATCATTGAGTGAACAAACACAACTTGATCTTACATCCCTGCTTCTCTCAGACATTGAGAAACACCCTTTCTTGACATTCCTGGCCCATTAAAGGCTAAAACTGGAGACAGAGGTAACCGGGCAAACCACCAGCTGGGTAGACACTGGTAGCCCAGCAACTACTCAAAGCCTCCATTGTCTTGTTGCCCACAAAATTGCTTGCTATATGATCTACTTCTGTGAAGCCTCAGTCCTCTGACCTCAGGCAGCTTTTTTAAAATATGAGAAGGAGGTGTGGGAGTTCACCATGAACAAAACTAATCAAGACTATTGGGTTTTAAGATTTCCAAAGTTCAGGAGCCAGGTTTATTTCTGGATTCAGCCCAGTTCCGAAAGGACTAAGGTATTTCCAGAACTGTGGCTGGACATTGGCCAAGGGCAGAGTACGTATCTGTGTGCTGCCAACCAAACTAAAGGCTGCATTCTGATTTCCCACCTGGGGGTGTCTCTTAGCGGGCCCAGAGTCAAGAAAAGACCAAGAAGGAGCTTTAACCAGGAGTAGGCCCCAGTCTAGGATGCTTTCAAGATAGAGCCAGCCCTCATCCCTAAATTTCAAAGGAGAATAAATCTCGGCTGTTTCTCCTGGGTCCCACAAAGTTCCCTGCACAGCAAAGTATGGTTTGAATTATATGTTCTGTACTTAATTTGTGCCTGAGCTATTGAATTGTTTTCATTTCTCATGGCCTCGTCTGTGCTATTTCAGGTAAACTTAATAGCCAAGAAGACTTTTTAAAAAGGAGTATTATACTAGCCAGGTGTGGCAGCAGTATCTGTAATCTTAGCACTAGGGAAGCTGAGGCAGGAGGATTGTGAATACAAGGCCAGCCTATGCTACATGATAATTTTAAGATGAGCTGGAAATACATAGCAAGGCCCTGTCTAAAAAACAAACAAAGAAAGAAACAAAAACAAAACAAAAAGTATTAAGCCAAACTTGCAAATTAGATGATGACAAACAAAAATGTATGACTAAATCTGAGTATTCTCTCAGGCCAGACTTCCTAAGCATTTTCTTTGTGAATCAGGTCTAGTTCCCACTCTTAAAATGAGACAACTTTTATCATGCTGTGGAGAGTAGGCCTCGGTACTACTGCCACACTGGGAATGAACACCCTAGCCAGTGTGACCTCCTTGAGTGAGTAGGTGATTACTCCTCTCCTTTGGCTATAATTAACCAACAGCTGTACACTCCAGCCTAGAACCTAATGTTCTGTAGGCGATATTGCCTATAATAACTGTGTGCCCCCCAGAATCCATCTGCCCCATCTTATCCGGGTCATGGGCTTGTCCCAAACACAGACGGGCACAGTTTATTCCTGTGGAATAGTGCACTACTCGTGGGGCTTTCTTGGGCCTCCTGCTGTGGTCAGGACTAGCAGACAGCCCCACTGGTAGGACTGAGGTCATGCACAAGTGTCCATGACCTCCCTGGCCAGATGTCATGCTCTGTCTATGAGGACATGATATCTCAAATTCCACCTTCAAAGAGTCATTCTTTTTTGTTAAAACACTGGCATCTTCAAGAGTTCCCTTAGCCAGAGTAGCAAAGCTGGAAAGCGTCCTGGCTTTGGAGTTCAGTAGATATGGCCCTTAATGCAAACCTTGCCACTTGCTAGATGTGGGACCATATTCAAATGACTTAACTTTTCTGAGCCTCAGATTGACCTTTTGTGATACATAACAAATGTATAGGGCTCTTACAAGATGGAGAGGGTTCATTTACTCGATTCTCTTCATAATAGTACCTAGCTAGCTCAAAACCTAGTATTGAATGAAGTGGGAACTAGAAAGTACCAAAATACCTCACAGCACAGGAGCTAAGAGAAGGATCTCAGAACAAATGGGTAGGAGAAGTCAAAGGCAAGCTTCATCACCTTTGCAATCTGACCACTCACTTCTACCCTACCCTATAAATCTGTAGATATGACTCATCATATAGTGAGATGCTATTACTAGTGATGTCTCCTTGCCAATAATGGTGTATTGTATGTAAACACTGGTGAAAGTGCACCCGTGACAAAAACACTAGATTAGGAACTTTCTAATGGGAATGAAGAATGTGAATTCCTATGGGCAATTAAGTGGCCTCTACTTTGGTGTTTTTGGTTATGGTTACATTGATATATACATTTATCAAAATACATTCACTAGACACTTAAACTATGTGCATTTTATGGTATGGAAATCAGACTTCAGTAAAGTTAGTTAATACAAAATATGCTTTGTACTCCAGCCGTGACATTAATAAGCTGAGTGGTCCTGGCTGACTCAATCCAAGTCAATCTCTGGGCTTTGGCTTTCTTGTGCTTGTAAGGACAAAGCCTAAATTTCCTGTCAGCTCAACAATATGATTCAGTAAATAGTATCTCTTTCTTTCATTTCAGTCTCTATTTTTTTCTGCCTGCTGTGTTTAACAACGGAGTCGGAGAGATTGGCACATAGCTTAGGGGGAGTGAAGAGTAACTTAATGGTATGTGCAGGGGACCCTGTGTCTTTGTATTGCATCACTGACTTTCCATCTCCACTTTCAAGAACACAATTGGTTTCTCACAGGGATCCAGCCATGCAACATGATTGAGCCAGGGGATGAGGATGATCTGGCCCCAGAGAAGTTGTATCTGCCACCAGAGATAACAGCTTTCACATGGAGAGTGGAGAAAATGTTTCCTGGACGATGGGAGTGACTGACAGATATTAGATGGGAGGAAATTGAAGGTGCTGCCAAGTTTCATGATAAAATGCTATTTCTCACGGTAAGGTCAAGCTGTCTCTCGTGTGGCTACTGCTTTTAAAGTACAAAGGGAGCACAGCAGATTCGACACAGTGCGGCGGACTTTGCAGAGTACACGATCAAAGGCCTCTTGTTTCATTTATAAGTAAAATTGGGCGACTATTACAGCAATAGCAATCATCAAGGATTAATATGGAGTTTGCTGATGAGCCAAAAGCTGAGCATGACCAGCAGTAAAGTCTCTAAAGGTTTGATCCCAAAGCCCTCTGGGTGCAAAATGCCCACTGCTGTTTGCAGGATTACACATGTAAAAGGAAGGTTAAATCAGATTTTCAAAGGAGAGCATTATGCCAGCAGCTGGCATTGGCAACATTGTAATATATTAATGAGTGTTTCGAAGGGTGGAATCCCTTCGCTGGTGCTAACCTTAGTTTCTAAAGACTAAGAACCTAAAAACGAAACCCTAGTGTGTACATATCATTGAGTGTTAGTGACTTTACTTATGCAAACAGGACAGAAATAAAAGCCCTGCTTTAGTCCCAAGTTGTATTTCTAAACCATGAGTGGAATTTGTTCTCATTTAAAATCTTTGGGGAAGGCTCCAGGATGTAGCTCAGTGGCATAGCGCCTGCCTGGCAAGTGCAAGGCCCTGAGTTCAACTCATAATTTAAATTTAAATTTTAAAATAAATAAAACCCTTGGGGAATAACCCTGGGATGGTGCGCTTTGTGTTCACTGGGGCACAAGGCACTGAGACATTGAGTTAAACACTAGTCTGGATACATCTGGGAGGGTGTTTTGGGGTGACATGAGCCTTTGCACCAGTAAAGCAGATTGCCGTCGCCAGTGTGTATGGGCCTCATCCAATCCATGCGCAGCCTGCACAGAACAAAAGGCTAGGGAAATTCTTCCCTCTACCTATCTTCGGTCTGGGACATTGAGTCTTTTCCTGCCTTTGGACTTCAAGATGGTTTCAGTCAAGACCTAATGCCATCACCCCCCTGGTTCTCAGACTGAATCTTAATCATACACTTGCCTGGGTCTCACTTGTTCTCCTTGCTGACCGAAAATACTGAAACTTCATCTCCATAATCATGCAAACCAGTTCCTTAGAATATATATGAATTTTTATATATATATACAAATTTGTATATCTATGAAATTATACACACATATATGTATGTATTTTCCCTATTGCTTCTGCTTTTCTGGAACCCCTCTGAAGAGTCATTAATTGATTCATACTAACTTAATTCAACTTTGGGGGAATTAAGAAAGAAAATTTACATATAGCACAGCTTTTGATCCAGCAATTGACCTTCTAGGACTTTTTACTGTAGAACGACTTGGGCACGTACAAAGTGCTACATGTAAGGATCAGGCCCTGTGTTGCATGTTTGTCAGGAGGTACCAGACCCACTGAGTCTGTGCTAATGATGCCTCTGAAGCATGATAAAGATGTTCATTGATGAATTGGGTGAAATGGTAAATGACTCAGAAAAATGCAAATTTCCATCACTGAAAGATGATTAATAATTTCTGTTACATTAGTATGATAGGGTGCTATGGGTATTATGCCTTTATCTTTGCACAATGAGGCAGATCTGTATGATCTGATAAGAAAAGATACCCAAGATGAGAAAAAGGCAAAGGCAGAATAGTGTGTAAAATATGTTCCCATTTGTAAGTATATGTATAAGTGCATTTAAAGAAAATTTTTAGAAGGGAACATAAACGACAAATAACAGTTACTACTGGGATTACTTCCAGTTGATGGTCAGAACCACACAGAATTCAGCTTGCAGTTGTACACCCATTTGAATGTTTAACTTTTTCCCCATGGCCAAGTATTTCTGCAATTTATAAAATTATACTAATGCAAAATTCATTCATTCATTCATTCATCCATTCATTCCATAATTAAGCATCAGGTACCAAGCAAAGTGCTCAACATCACTAGAAATTGAAGTGCTCACTGTCAGCAAGATTTTCTAATTTGTTCGTGTAGTTGTTGGTAGTATAATTGTTATTGATGTGGGTGGTTAACTCATCTAGATTCAGGAGACATAGCAGTAACTAAAGCAAAACTGTGGTTTTCATAGTCCTTACAGTCTACCTATTTAAATAGGAAATTTTGCATTTTGTGCATCATATTTATGTGGCCCTGATACACTTCATGCAGTAAAATAGTTATTTCATAAATGGTCCTGGTGAGATAGACACTCAGGTATGTATCTGTGTACATGTATGTGCATGTGTGTGTACAGGATACAGGTTCAGGTTACAGTATGACTGGCATTTTCACAGCCACTGTATACAGTATGCAGATGAAATGGACATGTAAAGGATCCCTGCTATGACTTGAACATGTTTTGAATGTTTTCCCCAAAGATTCATGTGCTAGAAGTTGGTCTTCAGGGTAGCAGTACAAAGGAAATAGAACTCTTAAGAAGTGGGGCTTAGTGCCAGGTAACTAGGCCCCTGGTGGGGCACCACCCTTGGAAAGGATTAATGCTGTTTCTGGGAGTGAGTCAGCTCTCTGAGCTGGTTGTTGTAAAGTGAGGCTACTTTATGTATGTGGTCCTTGTGCACACCGCTTTGTTTCCATTTGTGGTTTTGCATCATGTTGTGAGGCAGCCAAGGAGCCTGTGCCAGAATGCCAGCACCATCCTCTTGAACCTATAGAACTGGGAGCTAAATAAAACTATTTTCTTTATAAGATACCCAACTTCAGGTGTTTGGTTACAGCAACACACCACTCCTCCATTCTAAACCCTCGAAGTTGGATTATGGTTCAAGGCATGGATGGACCCTGAAGTTCTTAAAACTCATCTCTAGTGCCATCCTTGACATACCCAAATGGTAAAAGCAGAGTGCCCAACAGAGACAGAGATTTGCATATTTCACAAAAGGAAGGTTACAAATGCCTCATATTGGTTTGTTTGTTGTCCTGGTTACCACTGTCCAGTGGTTGAAAATGGCTGCTTCCAAGTAAGTTAGTTGCTACAGTTGCTCTGGTTCATGTCAAACCCCAAATTCCCAGGAATGACCACAGCTGTTTACACACAGAGATGTGTGCATGAGGATCTCCCGTGTCCTCCTGCTTCACCACCCATTCCTGGCTCCATTGCTAGAGTGGCTGGAGCTGGCACGTGGCTCTTCAAACCTTTTCTCTTTCTTTTCCTGCTTGACCTGTGGATTCACCCAAACTGCTTTGAAGCTGCTGGCGGTAAGCAGTATGAAACAGCTGCTTATCTTCCTTTATGGCAAAGAGCCAGACAGACTCGTGATTATTATTTCTACTTTAATGAGACTGTGCTAAAATATTTCTGCATAAGTCCTGGACATAGTCACTCCTTACCTTTTACCACCTTACAAGGATTCTCTCATATCTCCAGAAGCATACTAGCTACTGACGGTGACAAGGACCCAATAAATGTTTTGTTTTTTTAAAATTTTTTTTATTTAACACTTTGTAGAAAGAACTCTGGAGCACGCAGTACCCACGAGATCTGAGACTTAAGTTTTAATTTAATTTTAGAACTCAAATGTATTTAAAATGGTGGAGTTGCCTGCTTTAGGTCTTGGGAATACAATAAGCAGACATTGATTTCTGCTGAAGTTAACATCAAGAATTATTGAGCTGAGAGGTACACACTGCCCTGGTCTTTACTTTAGTCAATATTTACCTTGAAAAATAATTAATCTTGCTGTGAAGTAAAACCAGGCACCAATATATGTGTTCTTTGTTTAGTCTGTACTGAGACAAATGTTGAATATATGTACATGTAAATTTAATTTATGTATTTATGATTTCTATACACTTATTTTGTGTACACATTTATAAGTGTATTCACTTACATATATAAAATTTATGTATAATGTAGTTTAAGCACCTTACAGGAAGATCAGGACTGATGAAACCAAAAGTTAAAGTATGAAAACTGAAGGCCACCTATGGTATTCCCCACCTTCTAATGAAGTTGCATTCCCCTCTGCTGTTTTTGCTCCGTGAAGGCATCTACACTATGCAAAGTGTGCTGTTGGCCCCCAAAGCAGCAGCAGGCTGAGAAAGACTGCAAGTGTCACCTAATCGATTGACCCACCCCTGGTTTTTAGATCATTTAACATCAGAGCGCTCTGTGTCCCACCATGTCCTCCGTGTGTGAACAGAAGCCACAGTGAAAGAGCTTGCGACTGACTACATTTTATTGTAAGAAAAACACTGTCAGCCAAAACCCACTTGTATCGCAAACCTGGAAAATACAAACCCAACAGCCCAGACAGATGTGGCTGATGGCTAATAATACTGAGGCAAATGTCATTAGTAATATTAAGTTGCTGTCATTAAATAACACCTCTTAACATGCATTGGATCCTTCACATTTACCCAATGAAGCTGACGTTATTGGCTCCATTTTATAAATGAAAAAATTGAATCCTTTGGTCGTGGCCACACTGGTAGTAATTGTCAGGGTTAGGATTTGAATCAATAGCTATTTGATTTCAGAGTCTGTGCTCTTAAAATTACATGTTGGCTTTTCCCAACACAGAAAGCTATGTTAAAGCAGATACCCTGAAAGTTCCTGCAAAAGGAACTGTTTCCTCGTTAGCAGTTATCTGAGGAAGGATACTACCGAGGCAGAGGAGCTGGCTGACTATTAAGGGAGGCACAAAGCAAGAGGAAATATAGGAACCGCTGAAAGCCAGCCTCTCGTTGTCTTGGCCTTATGCTGTCCCAGTGCCTTTATCCTAGTCTTGGTATTTTTGCACTGACTGAGACCCCACTTTGCAGTGTATCAAGAGTATCCACGAACTCAACACAGTATGACTGGACGCTGTGCAACCCCTTCTGACCCTGTCTTAGAGCCAGTGCGCTCACACCTAGGAGTTACTGCTGACGCCTCTCAGCTTTCTCATATTGGGAATACCCTTCCGCAGAAGGGGTCATTGGACAGCGGGCTCCCCGAGGGCAGCCTTCACGTAAAGACCAGTGAGTGTTGGGAAGCAGCAAGGCCTGACCCCA